TGATCTGGCCGGTCTTGCAGGCGGCCTGAATGTACTTGAAGTGCACATCGGCGTCCTGGCTGTAGTTGACGATCGAGCCGAGAAAGTAGAAGAGGCCCTCGTAGCTCTTGAAGGACTCAAAGAGCTCAATCAGCGCGTCGGTGGTCAGCTGCTCGTGGTACTTGCCCGCCACCTGCACGCAGATCTGCAGATTCTGGCGAATGTTGTTGGTGAGCATCGCCTTGAGGCACTCCAGCGAGTCCTCCACCGAGAGCGTGCCAAAGTAGTTGACCAGCCACTCCTGGTTGAGGAGGTGGGTGTGGACGATCGCCCGCTTGATGTCGTAGAGGTCGGTGTAGTGCTCCAGGGCGCGCTGCAGCAGGCCGGCCTTCTCGCAGAGCTGCGCAATGTGCGCCTTGTCGTAGTAGGTGAACATCTTGTTGGAGAGAATGGCGTCCGCGACCTGCGGCGCCGTCAGCAGGTTCATCTCCAGGCAGCGCGTCTGCAGGGCGGCCTCCTCCGGCCGGTTGTTCTTGAGGGCGTCGAGGAGGAAGCTGGTGCACTGCTGCACCAGATTCGCCTCCATGAAGACGTCCACAATGGAGCCGATGTCGGCGAGGGGCTCCTCCTCGGCCACCAGCGACTGGGCGAACTCGCTCGCCTTGTCGGGGCTGCTGCGGACGATCTGCCGGAGGAGGGCAATGTAGTCGGGCGCGAAGCCGACCTTGTTCGCGTAGAGGATGATCTTCTTGAACTGGCCCGTCTCCGCGAAGGACTGAATGACCTTGTTGGGCACGTTGGCGCGCAGGTAGACGGAGAGGGCGAGGGTGGGGTCGATCGCCTTGACGATGTCGCCCAGCTCCTCGCTGCACTCCAGCTTGTCGTCCTTCAGCCACTTCTCCAGCAGCTGCTTGCGATTCTGCTGAAGGACGGGCTTGCACAGCTCCAGCGACTCGTACTTGTTCAGCTTGCCCTGGTCGAGGAGAATGCCAAAGTAGTGGAAAAGGGGCGAGGACTGGCCGGCCGCCGTGGGCATCGACTGGAAGCGCTGAATGGTGGCGGGCGTGCGGAGGATGCCCTGCGGGGCGCTGGCGGCCACCTTCGCCGCCTCAATGTACTGGCCCGAGTTGAAGAGGTTGTTGAACTTGAGGATGAAGAGGTCGTCGGCGCCGGCGAGGTTGTTCCGCGAGGCAATGCGCAGCGCCAGGTCCGAGTTCTGCAGCGTCCCCTGGATGTAGGGAATGAGGTTGGTCTCGTCGACGCTCACCGAGAGCACCTGAAGTGGGGAAGAGAAAGTGAGAGAAAGAGATTAGTAAGGAATTGTAAACAAGCACAACAATGATTTCTCATACCTGGCCCTTGCGATTGACGCCGATGATGCCACTGGTGGCCTCGTAGGGCGCGGTGACGAAGATGGTGTCGGCGCTGATGCGGTTCATGTAGATGCAGGTGCCCGACTCGATGTCGTAGAGGTGAATGTAGCCGTACTTGGTGATCAGGTAGATGATGTCAAACTTGGTGGACATCTGCATCGCAACGGGAAAGTCGCTCTGCGCCTCGGGCGGAAAGAAGACGTCCACCTGCTTCTTCGTGTAGGCCTGGTTGCCGGTGGGAGCGGTGCCCACCTCGATGATGTGCAGCTTGCCGCCGGTGGGGGAGCGCACCGCGAAGCTGAAGAGATTGGACGGCTCGGGGTTGCCCTCCATCTTGAAGAGGGCGAAGGAGGCGGCGTGGCCCTCGATCGGCTGGCTCACCTTGCGGTCCACCGAGTAGAGTTGCATGGCGCCGGTGACGCGGTTGCTCTGTGAGGAGAGAGAGAAAGGGGAGTAAGCATTAGTGCTGATTATCAGATCGTGACAAGAGAAGTGGTGCACAAAGTAGTGCACTGTACTGTACCTGGGCGGCGATGCCGATCAGCACCAGCCACTTCAGCTGGTGGTCGGCGCGGTAGTTGATGATCTGGCAGCCGTTGAGGTTGGCGTGGCGCTCGAAGATCTTGGTCGGCGTCGAGTCGCCCTCCATCGACCAGTGGAAGACGGCCTTCTCGGTGACGAGGGCGATCGTCTTGACGTTGATCCACTTCCAGAAGACGACGTCCTCCGTCATCGTGTGCGCCTTCATCATCGACTTCATCTCGATGTTGAAGATCTGCAGCGTGCGCGTCGCCTTCAGTGCGATCACCTTCGTCGAGGGGTTCATGATGGCGGAGTCGGCGCTGATCGGCCGGCGGATCGGCGTCTGCGGGTTGGCCATGTCGATGATCACCACCTGGGCGGTCTCCCCTTGCTTCTCGCGGATGCAGATGAACTTGTCGCTCTCCATGGTGAGCATGTTGAAACTGATGCTCGACTGGTTGATCCCGATTTGGGTCAGCTAAAGGGGGGAAAGAGAAAGAGGAAAGGTTAGAGATTTAGAAACTAGAACAAAACACCCCAAATAGAAACAAGAAACATACCTGGAGATGCTCCTGAAACTTGATGGGCAAAATCTGCGACATCTTGGCGGACTGGGCGGGCTGGTGCGGGTGCTTGTCGCGAAGATGTCGGCGGCGGCGGCGGTGTTGGTCGGTGTAGGGGGTGAAGGGAATGGGGTGGGGGAGTTGAAGCCAGCAATGGAAGAAAAAGAAGAAGAAGAGGGAGAAAGGGAACTGATGCCAATGGGAGAGAAAGTCAACTGACGCGAGTGAGAGACCACTTTTTATGATCAGAAGCAGCAGTCAGTCAGCCAGCCAGGCAAAGAGCGAGGTGGCGAGTGAGATGGCGAGCGAGAAGTAGAAACGCCGACTAAAGGCCAATATCTCGGCTGCTGTGTGGTGGCTAGCGACGCCAAAGTTGACACTGATGAAGAAGAAGAAGGCTCTGGTGGTGGTGATGATGGAGCGAGAGAGAGAGAGCGTACACAGCGCGCTGTCAAAGAGCAGTGGCGACTGCAGCGGCGTCGTCGGTGGCGTCGGCTTCGGCGGATTGGGCTTGGGTGCTGGCCGAGTGTGCCGCGTCGCAGAAGAGAGAGAGAGAGCGGCGAATGGCGAGCGTTAGTCACTCTGGCAGGACACTGCTGCCACTGCCACTGCTGCTGCTGTAGAAGCGAGGAGCAAGCGATCGGGCGTCCCAAGCTTCCTAGGTCAGCGCTGGTGGTGGTAAAGGGCAAAGGGCGTCGGTGTGAGTAAGAGAGGGTGTCTTGAAGATGATGGTGATGAGAAGTAGAACTGTCGATGACGATGAGACCGGCGGTGTGTGAACGTCGACGACTTTGGCAGCCACACACAGATGAGCTGGCGTCAGCGATGAGTGTGTTTACCAGAGAGACGCCGGACAAAGAGAGAGAGAGAGAGAGAGAGAGAGAGAGAGAGAGAGAGGGTGAGTGAGCGATTGAGCTGTGGCAGCTGCAGAAGAGGCAGAAGCAGCGGCTGAAGTAGAACTCTGACTCAGCGACTGCTGCCAGCGCTGTTATTTGCCAAATCATCTTTCCGAGCAGCGGCGGCGGCGGCGGCGGCGTCAGTTGGCGCAGGCGCAGTCGCCCCCCGCCGGACCTCATCTGTGAACGGCCCTTTGGCGGTTTGGGCGCAAATAGAAAACAACAGAACCGACTGATCCAAATCTGTTTGGCGGTAATTCTGCGGTAATTCTGTGGTAATTCTGCTACCGTCTTCTTCTTAACAATGACCGACTCTATCAACACCGTGGAGGCCTATGTAAGTGCTTTATCTCAAGGTTTTTCTTTTCAACAAATCTAACGATATCTTCCCATTTTGTCTTCAGCTGAAGCAGGCCAACGTCCGCCTGGAGCAGGTTCGCCTGAAGCTCGACCTGCTGCTGGAGAAGAAGGCCAAGGAGAAATCCATCGCCCCGCACGAGCAGTGCTCCCTCGACAACATCACCCTCATTCCGGAGCAGCTGGAGGAGCTAAGGGGGCGGTACCGGCGGCTGCAGGCCACCCGCGACGAGGCGATCCGCGAGCTGGGCGAGAAGACCGCTNAGCTTTTCTTTTCAACAAATGCTAACGATATCTTCCCATTTCGTCTTCAGCTGAAGCAGGCCAACGTCCGCCTGGAGCAGGTCCGCCTGAAGCTCGACCTGCTGCTGGAGAAGAAGGCGAAGGAGAAGTCCATCGCCCCGCACGAGCAGTGCTCCCTCGACAACATCACCCTCATTCCGGAGCAGCTGGAGGAGCTAAGGGGGCGGTACCGGCGGCTGCAGGCCACCCGCGACGAGGCGATCCGCGAGCTGGGCGAGAAGACCGCTCGGCTCGAGGCCAAAGTCGACAGTCTGCCGCCGCGTCTTTGACGTTCTTGTACAGATCTACAACACTCTACAGCTACAGCTTCGTAGTCGTACAGTACAGTACCTCAACAACCACACAACAACAAAACTCCGACTCAACTCGAGAAGCATTCTCTCATCTGCTGCTGTGATCTCCTCTCCTCTCTCCGCTTTTATTACTGTCATTGTTGAACAACTGCAGAGTTGCTACGCCAGTTGCTGCAGTGGTTAATATTTACACGCACGTATCATCCCCTTCTCCTCCTCCTCCATTTTCTTTCTTCTTTCAATCTCTCGCGCCCCTCATCGGAAGCGCACATATAATGGATAATAATAACGCCATCACCGAAAGATAACTGCTGCTGCNTCTCTCTCTCTCCGCTTTTATTACATTTCATTGTTGAACAACTGCAGAGTTGCTACGCCAGAGTTGCTGCAGTGGTTAATATTTACACGCACGTATCATCCCCTCCTCCTCCTCCTCCATTTTCTTTCTTCTTTCAATCTCTCGCGCCCCTCATCGGAAGCGCACATATAATGGATAATAATAACGCCATCACCGAAAGATAACTGCTGCTGCTGCTCTGGTTGCCGATATCATCATCACAATCACCATCAGTTAAAGTCATCCAGCTGGGCGACTTCGGGCGAGGAGAAGGGCGGCTGGATGATGGCGACAAAGCCGTCGCTCCAGGGCTGTAGTAGTGGTAGTAGAACAACAACAAAACAAAACAAAGAGGTTTTGGTTAGTGTTTTGATAACCACAAAAAGTGGCCGCCATTATCATGCTTACCTTGCTGGTCAGCAGCCCCGGCTCAGTGAGCAGCCGCCGGTTGATCTCGACGATCTTCCCGCTGACGCAGGCGCGCACCTTGTAGGCGGAGCCGTCGGTGCACTCCACCGAGCAGAGCACCGAGTGCTTCTGCACCTTTTGTGCACCCTGAGGAAATGAGGAAAGGGAAAAAGAGAAAAATCAGTGGTTAGAAAAAGCGGTTCGATTTCATCATCATTTCATCATCAACTTACCCGCTTATGCTTGCCCGACACCTGATTCTCCAGCCGACTGACGCGGTGATTCCTCTCCTTCGACTCAAAGTCCACCCTGCTGACTGTCTTCTTCAGGCGAAGGAGGTCGTGCGTCGGGGCGAGGGTGATGACGACGATTCTGGTGGGGGTGATTAGATGTGGAGATTGTGAAGTTCTTTATCAGTGAAAAAGTACTAAAACGGATCAACTCTTACTTGTTGGAATGCGCCATCACCAGAAAGTCCTCGCAGGAGGAGTCCTCGGTCGTGTTTTGGAAGTCATTTCGAACCAGCTTCGCCCTGAAGTACCGCTCCGAGACGGAAGGGAGCGGGTCGATGATGCGGGTCGTCTTGAGGAAAGATGGAAATTCCACCACCTCTTCAGCTTCAGCTTTTGTTGTCGTCGTCGTATCTTCCATTCTTGAAGTCAAATCTCCGAAAAACAGAAGAACTTGCCGGCAAAAACGGTCGAGCACGTTTCGCACCTTTTGGCTTCAAAACAATTTCACGTGTTCAGAAGATTTGCTCCTGTGATCCTGGCCGCCACTGAAATCGAAACACTCTCTCTCTCTCTCCCCAAATTGATTATCATCAGATTGGATTCTCCCCCACAGCAAAAAGGAAATAGCAGCCCAACATTGTCACCAATCACCAATCAGTGACACAAACAAAAATGTTTGCTCTTTGACGTAAAGCAGCGAGCAGCTTTCCGCCCACTTCAAAGCAAGTAAAAAAGTGCACACAAGCGTCAAAGCTGTTTTTTGTTGCTCAACATCCATCCATTCTCTTTTTGGGTTTTTATAATGCACACAGTTGTGGATAAAAGAAGAGGGGCCCAATAATAAGGTGAAATCAGGGTTGTGGAAACAGTGGAAAAAGGGAAAAGGGAAAAGAACAAGACGACGTAGTGTGTATAAGTGCAAAGTGTGTGTGTTTAGCGAGAAATTCATGAGATCAGCGCGCAGAGTTAAAGTTCAGTTCAGTTCACAGTAAACTCTCCCTTCTAAAGGTCATTTTTTACCCAGGCAGGAACGTTGAAGAGATCAACAACATCAGCATCGTCATCATCATCAGGGGACTTTTCTTCCTTCAAGGTAGTGATGGTCTTGTTTGTCGAGCTTTTCGGGTTGTTGTTGTTGTTGTTGTTAGCTTTCGTCGTCGTCGCTGCCGTATTCTTCTTCAGGCGCTCCTTCAACAGCGGCACAATTCCGCTGCTGCTAAAAGAGCTGTTGTTGTTGTTGGCGGTTGTTGATGATGATGATGCACTTTCAATAGCTACTAAATCAGTTTCAATGACCACTGCTGCTGCTGCTGCTGCTGAGGCTGTTGTTCCGTTTTCAGTGGTGGTGGTGGTGGTACTACCGTTCAGCTTCTCATCACCCGTCTCCTTTTTCTCCTCAGTCCTGATCTTCTTGACCTTCTGCAGTGGAGGACTGGTGGGCGGGGCGGACTTGGCAGTAGCAGCAGCACTGGACTGAGCGCCGTCTCCAGTGCTGAGCCTCGTCTTTTTGCCCTTTGCCTCTTGGCCGCTAGCTGTCGTCTTCGCCACATGGTCGTCGTACGTTTGAATCTAAAGAGCAGAAAAAAAGAGCTTAGAATAATTCAAAACAAATGACCACCACATCATCAGCTTACCTTAAAAAGCTGCGCCCCCAGGCTGCTGCTACTCCGCCGGAGAATAAACTGCTCGACCACTCGCTTCGCCGCCCCCGGCTCCTTGAGGGTGACGTAGGCGGTGGTGTCGCCCAGGAAGGTGATCGCCTGCAGCCCGCCCACCTCGGCGCCCCCGAAGAGGGCGTTGATGTTCTCCCTTCGCCACTCCGCGGGGAAGGTGATGTGAAAGACGTGCGAGCGGTCGGGCATCGGCTCCGCCGCCGCCGCCA